GAATCAAGCAATCTAATCTGTCCACATAGAAAATCCATTCTATGTTAAGTGTGTTAGATATCATGCTTTCTTTCCTGTCTACATTTGGTGCCACCGCATAAAGTTAATACCATTCATATTTTTAGGCTTAGCATTAGTGGGTCTCTCTGTATCTCGCACGAACACGTCCTACTGTCGAAATATGACAAATCATTCAAAGGTAGCAAGTGAAGAGCGCAATGCACAGCCCAGTACGTAAAAACCGAAAAATTTTATGAAAAATAATGTATTTTTTCCTAAACATGGAACCACCTCATCCAAAAGTGCAAATGTTAATGAACATACTTATTCTCTAGCCGCTGAACAAATCAGCCTCGTTCGATTTATATCCAAACATGTGCATAACACAATGATGAAGATAGGGGAATAAGAGTTGCCACCACAATATCCATTGTCCTCATTAAGGACGAGTGAGTCCTGGCACATGGATTTTGTGTTAGTGGGGGAGGAGGTTGTTCACACTTCAGCATCAATAGGTGGAACAACTCTTTTTCCTCTTTGTTCTTTATTGTTTTTCTTTTCGTCCCATCATATCCCACATTGGGAGGTTTTCAATTCAAATTTGCAATTAGTAAGGTCTTTGTCTTTAAGCTCACTCCACCATTGTGTGTAAGATATGATTTTAAGGAGACTGGCTTATGCTTGCTTTCTTTCTTTAATTTCCATTTAGAATTCTTATCTCCACGTGCCATTCCTCGACAAAAGATGAGCAAATTGTCATCTTAAAAGGATCATTTGGTACGTTTAATTTGACATGTTGATAAGTTCAATTACGTGACACAATTTTTGTATTTATTTATCAAGATTGTGATCCATGTTAACACGAAAATACCATGTTGGAGTAACCTCAACCATAACTTGACAAGTAGGTCCTTTAATCTTTTGTAGTATGCAAGAAATGGTATTTGGTGGGGTCCAAATTTTATAAGAAAATATGGGAAGAAAACAAAATCAAATCCTATATGATGATGAAATAGTACATGCCCCCTTCCACAAGGATAGATAGTTGGGGTACCCATCATGGCTTCCATTCCTCTTTGATTGAATTCATATTATATGCTTCCAAATCCTACCCCACCTTAGCTTAAAATTGGCATAAGTATTTATTTTGCAGAAGTGGACAAATTATGTGAGGAGACACATTTCCATCACTTTACATACCTTGGACCAAAAATGTTGAATAGAAAACAAAAGCACAACCATGGAATGGGCCTAGATACTCAATGCTTACCTTCGTGCCCTCGCCAATATGCCATTGGTTCGAGTGTCACTTTCTTCCTAGTACATTTCTGTGAGGTCGAGTGCGTGTTCCGCTCGAGATGATACGTTTAAGACGTATGCATTAGATTGACTCCATTTGAAATACATAACATTTACGGAATGAATCTTTGTATATAGCCCCTGTTTGGTTTTTAGTAGATTTTGATTTAAAAAAAATAAATAAATTATGGAATGTGATGTTGAACAGTTGTTGATGAGTCCATAAAATACTTGATTAAAATTAATTTTTGATTTTAATTTTAATTTAATATAACATTTTAGTCGAACTAAATAGAGGCATACTTTGCTATGTTATGGTTTGGAATACGGTAAAAAAAGGTATAAATTTACTGGGAATAAAACTTTATAGACATACCATATTTTATATGTACTCATTTCGTTATTACAAGTACTCATTTTCTTTTTTTTTTATTAACAATCGATTATATAAATTAATTTATTCTCGAAAAATATAAAGTCGGTAAAGTTTTAAAATCCAGTGAAAAATGATTTTCAGTCGCATTTTCAGGCAGAGTATTTGTGAAAGGAGGAATCAGATTCACTTGTATGGGAGGATATGTCGGTCATAAAGCGACACGTGGTCCGAATCGGTTGGGACCCGTCGACACAAAAACGGATCTTTACAACAAATTCGCCACAATTATTTTTGTGTTGTCCTGTTTTTTTACCTCATCGGGTGGGGCCCGTCATACAGAACTTGGGGGCCCACCTCCGAATGGGTTGGGTTGGTTTCATTTAATATTAAATTAGTATAAATTATGAAAGATGGACTATTCCCAATATGAACTAAGGTGGCCGGTTTAGTTGGACAAATCATAAGTCCATAATCAATTCTTGTTTTGTGATTAATGTGATGTGATGATGTGGGCCGATTTATGAAAAGGATACCCCTCTAGAAGACATTATTATAGTACTCAGAAGGATTTCGATAATGGTTACACTTATAAGGCTCGATCCAAGTCATTAATTTAATTACTATATCAAATTATTAAATTACTAATTTATTCGGGTGCTAGGCATTTAGTTTTCATAAAACTTGATTGGATTCATCAGCCTTCGATTGATTTGATCGAGAATCAATCTCATGACCTTCGTTTTTGACATTTAAATTAGAAGTATTTGGTTGGTTCTATTGCGAATCCATCCACCAAAAGTATGGGTTCCACAAT